TTGAACTCCCTCTGATCACGTCTTCTCATTACAGAACTCCTAGAATTTCCTCACGAAGCTAGTCCACTCACTAGTGAGCACAGTATATTTATTTAAATTTCTGTTTTTTTTCCTAAAAACAATTAGATGGAAAACTTGACTGTTGGTCAGCTATTTCACAAACTCTATTGAAAAGTATCAGTTTAACATATCAATTGGATAGTGGTCTATACACAAAGAAACTTCTAGCATTCGGTAAGATTTATTAATAATAATAATAATAATAATAATCGATTCCCGTCACGTGTTAACAAAGTAGTTATATAATCGGGATTCTATTCTGTGTTGACTACTTCTTCTATAACTTGGTGCCGCACACTTGACAATTAAACATCTGGCCTGGACCGTTGACCTTGAGCCGACGCAAGATAAGCTCCTGTTACTCAAACCTTTCTCTGTCATTTACCGCAGGTTAGAACAACACACAGTGAACAATACTGGCGTTTCCAATTAGATCGTTTTCAAGCTTTACTCTTTAATGTACATGAATATTTATATGAAAATGTTAAACCAATCAATGGGTCAGAACCTGAAAAGGAAGGTAAATTAGCGTTGGTCTTAGAGACCTGGGTACATGACCGTAGAGCCCAGGGGCCGTTCACGCACGGCCTTTTGATGAAAGGTTTTTCGAGTATTAGCTCCGCTCTTAAAAGCCCTTAGTGGGCACCCTTACCCAAGGAGACGGAAATCCGTGAGGTAGGGTGAGGTGTGACATTTTTAGGGTCGACCTTTTCTAACCCTTCCTTCCTTGTGAGAAGGCAGCATCAATGCAGATGCTGGTTGTCCAAGGGAAACAGCTTACTTCTGTCACACCATTCTATAGTCAGCAGTACGACTTCCCCCTCAGACCTTGAGTAGCTACTTTCAGTCTCATCGTTCTCCAATCGACCTACCTTGCATGGTAGAATCTTCAGGAACATATGTTCCAGCCAACATAGCTCGGTTGGATGATCACGGTAGGCAAGCCTGACCACCACGTCAAGGGAGAAGCTACGGTAGGGGGTAGGTATACTGTTAGTGGTAAAATTAATAAAATACAATTGCAAACGTTTTTGTCAACCTAGTTCAACATTGCAAGTAGTAGTAGTAGTTGGTCAAATGTGGATAAATAGACTTAAACCATTCATCAGAACACTTTATTAGAATCACGTAATAAGAAGAGTATAAAATAATAATTACGTAGGAGGAGAAAAGCAATGAGAAACTGTTAGGGACATTAGACCCCCAGAAGAACTCACTTGGAAGGTCTTAATTATTTCTGAATTTTTGAATTTTTTTTATGTTTTCGCGTATAAGTCGCTTAGTTGACCTTGAGTGTCATTGGTTGATGGATTATTTTAGTACGCAATTTTGTAGCTCTCTCAAGGGCGTTTCTATCATTGTATAAATAAGCTTGATTTGTGAACTTGTCAACCTCGTATCTTCTGGGTGCTGGTAGAATACATTCTCTCCACGACATATCAAGACTTCTTGCTATAGTTAGCTGGGGCTGGAACGACAGATCAGAATAGTCTATCATGTCACTAAGTCATTGCTTTCGTTCTGTTTACTGAGTAAGGTGAACTCGTATTAGTTTCAAGCAAATCACAAACAAATACAGGTTTTGAAAATATCGGTAATGAATAAAATTGTTTATTAAGTTTTATATCTAGTCAATGAATGGACAGGAGTGTCACGAAATTGCTTCTGGACACTTAAATTTGGGCAGAATGTACGGATTCCTATGGCTTTTGCAATTGGAATCTACTTGTTACACCTGCACGTGTAAACACGTGAACTTGATATACTTGAACTATTACGAGTTTACCTTGTCGGAAAACGAGAGCAAGGATCGAGGATCTGGCGACACGACATGCTACTCAAATCCGATTATTCCAAGCCTCATATTGAGTAAAAATAAGAAGACATGATGTGAAGTAGAACCTGTATTCTACAATCATCCAGAAAGTACGAGGTCCGAGTTCAGAAGAGAATCAGGTCCTCGGACTAGGGATCCGGGACCGGGTCCTGGTCCTGGTCATAAAACGTTACAGATAATCCGTTTTTATACATTTAGGTTGAATAGGAAACAGTATCAAAGTCTGTGACATTGACAGTTAAGACGACCAATAGGAAGCAACATTTGAAGTGACATTGATAGTCAGGATAACCAATAAGAAACAACATTGGAGCACGTGACATTGATATCTTGGATTACCATAAAATTGACCAGTAGAAATCAACCAATAGTAAGTGACCAATAATTCTCTCAGGATATTGGATGAATATCCTAACACTACTATTGAATGCATTAACCACGACTGGGTAGTAGTGTCTTTCTGATTTGACTTTGAATAAATAAATAATCGAAATGATGATGGTTTACAGCTCAGTTGGATGCTTTTGTTAGGTACTTTTATCCTCAATACTAGATTGTTTAATTGTGAAGTTCTCATCGTCAATCAATCAGTTAGTCATAACGTAGAACTGCGTACGTATGTACCATACGTATGTGCCATACCACATTAGCACGGAGAGAGACGCAATGAATGGTCAGTATTAGCAGTAATCAAAAAGCTTAGGGTTCGAAAATGTTATTCAAGAGGTATAATTCAGTGAAATGAATTTAAAATGACAAAGATAAAGGTGATAAGGGATTCGGAAGATTAGAATTTGAGAGAACACAAAGAGTGGATGTACCTGCGCCATTGAAAACAATGTTCAGCCATGTCATTCAAAGTCTCTAACCATCAATTTCTATCGTCTCATTGTCATTCAGGACAAATTCATCAACTTCTTCTTCATGTAGGTCATAACTGTGATATCAGTTGCAGTAGAGTAATGTGTCACTTCACATCTGTTTCATTTTAGAAATCTCTTATGTAGGTCCCTACTTATGATTTAGTCACGACCTTCAGATCCTGTAATGAACTCTTAACTATTGGACTTCATGAAATTGTAATCATATTTGTTCAACATTTTTTTCAATTCTATTGATCAAAGAATTACATTTCCATTATTCGCATTACGGAGTTGTGAAGATTGTTAAGTTACACATTTTTGAAACCATGAGTCGATCAATGTTAGACCACCATTAGAAACCTGGAAGCATTGAAAGACGGCCGTTTCTTCCTGTGCGCATCCTCGACTCCTGCACTTTGCGCAGGACTCTAAGCCAGGACCCTCGGTATTGTGCGCGAATTCCCCAGCCGGTATCTAACGGTGTTAATGTCTTACTTGAGCAAATTCACGGAGTTGCGCAACCTCATACACAGTCTTCGGTAGTAGTTACTGTCTACACCCGAATAGGTTGAACTTCACTGGTCATGAACTTCCCACCACTAGAACTCGGAGAAGATTCCTCACCAAACTAGTCGTGGTCACTAGTGAGCACAGGTAATTTGCATTACGGGATTGTTGTGAAGATTGTTAAGTTACACATGTTTTTTGAAACCATGAGTTGATCGATGTGTGTAATTTCCATTATCTATCTAATTTTATGACTATTATTTTTTTTTTCAACTTATTTCAAGAAATCATTGGATCAGTTAGTACAATGAATTGGCTCTATTCATCATCATCATCATCAAATATACTTTTATTAACAACTCATGGTTATTTAATTCATATTAATTTAATAAAATGTACCCAAAATGTGAATTCTTCTATTAGTAATCATTCAACTACAACTTATGCCTCATATACACCGATGACAACCACAACAACACAAAGTCGTTCTCCATCTTCACTATTGTCGTCGTCGCCATCTTCATCTTCATCATCATCATCAACATCATCATGTCAGTTGCTTCATTATCATGGAACATGTTCAAATAAAGATTTCTCTTTGATTATTCCATTGACACAGTCAACACTGTCATCTCAGGCAATCAAAGAGAATATACCTAAATGTATTTTAACTATTAGTAAAGGTTATATAAACCCACTGAATTGTATCACCCCTCATCATTGTCACTCTACTTCTATTATTGATTCTACATCGTTCAGAAGAGATTTCACTGAGACAACGACGACGATGTACGACACCAGTAATATCGATGATCAAGAGAAATTTTATTTAGTTAAATTATTTTGTGATCAATTTTTATTTCCATAATGAATTGTTTGTTTTTTTGTCAATCGAGTTTTATTAAAAGCATTTCTTCTTGTTTTGATCAATGTTCAATTATTATTCTCTACACTACAATTATTTCCCCAAAAATTCATGAGCTACATTTGACTGGCTGGCGCATTCACATTCACATTTCCACTAGTTAGCAGAGATAATGTATGTGTGTGTTTGTGTGTGTGTGTATGTGTGGTCAGATTAGCTGATTTTACTACGATGATCTTCTTTGTATGCACACAATGTTTGTAGTGTGTGTATTTTATTTTCTGATCTTATTTATTGTCTATGATGTTTTTTTTAATTTTTTGTTTCTAAAACTTTCTTTATATATTTTTTAAACATTACTGTGATAATATTTGTATAAAAATTTAGAGATCATTTGAATATATTGAATAAGATTAATTTTATTTAATATTTTGCGTTATATTTGTTTGTTTAAATGAATAAAATGATATTATAGCATAATATATATAATCAGATAGATTCATTCGTATTTCAGATGAATTGTTTTTGGTAAAAAATTTTCATTATCTGAGAATGAGGTGGTGTCTAATCGTTTTTAAGATTTCTTTTTACTACATACATCAGTGGCAGTGCGCATCCACAAGACCGAAGGTCCCGCATTCGAGTTCTGCGAGGTGCAGGAGTCATGGATGCACACTGCTGATGAGTAGTCTCAAATCAAGACGAAATAACCGTCCAATGCTTCCAAGTTTCTAACGATAGTCTGACTATGATTGATCGATGATTTCAAATGTGTAAAAACACTAATCTCCATAACTCCAATTGAAAAAAATATGTTTGCCATAAGAAGTATTAAATGCAAGCAAGTAGACGTCTTTTCTACGTGTGCACCCATTGTGTTAGGATAGTATTGGTTGAACATGAAATATCACCACTCATATTAATAGAAGCAGACACGTATAAACACAAACTAGAGCAGGGAAAAACCTAAATCGAAACAACGTTAGGAATTTTAGCGGATCTCTAGAACCATAATCAGTAAGTAAATCGTCAATTAATTGTCATGCCAATTTGTACCCAGTCTGTCGTTCTGCCCCAGCAAAGTCAGTCGCGTGGCCGGTTGTCGGTATGAAAATTTGTCTATACACTTTGTAGTGAGTCACTCAATCTCTAGCTCCCATGACTTGTCCCACTTGTCTTTTTACCTTGTCACTCATTCGTCGCTTTTATTCATGTATGTGCGTGCCTACTCTCTTACATGTCTATCTTATTTTTGTCTGACTATAAATTCCTAGTCATGCTTTATCTCTTGGAGTTGGCTCACCAGCCTTCTCCACATTGCTCCATCCGTTCATTCGCCTATTCACTCGCTTGCCTGCTTTCCGGCGCTCGCATGACGATTTTATCCTATGGCGCTTGTAGTCTGTTTTTCTATTTGTGGTTTGTCAAAAATAAACGCATTCAACACTTTATGTTCACCTTCTTATTTATAAACCGTCAGACGCTTGTTAGTAACGATTGTCTGGACGAGCTAATCATGAAGATTAAGAACACGTAGAAATCGGCCACCACAACTTCATGACACATAAAGATATAAGTACTCTTGTATTTGCTGCGCATCCTTTCGACTATGTTTATGGATTTATTAAATTCTTGTGTATATGTGTGCACAAGCCTCAGCCATTTACGAAGAATGATCTCTGAGTAATCCACTTAATTGAATAGGAATAATGGGTCAGATTGATATTTGCAGACAGCCCAAGCTAACCCATGAGGTTATAAGAAGGCATTAGGTAGGAGTTCGCTGCCATTATAGCTGAATAAGTCATTAAATGCTATCAAACGTGAAATGTTCATTAGCTTCTAGTGAATTCATTTTTGTGAAGAAAATGCGGCTGGTTTGATATAAACACTGATTATTATAACCAATTGTACAAGTGATTGTTTTATTGTACCTTTTGTTTATATAATTCTTTACGCGCAAACTTTCTGTTTGTGTTGCTGTCATTTTTGGCTCCACTGTCTCTGTAATTTCGCCCCTTAATTAGGTATTCTTTCGATACCAAGAAATCGCCAGAAAATATATTCCTTACAATGGAATAACTCTTCTCAGTGACGGGCTCATTATTCCTGTAATGGTGATCATTTTCAATCACGACTCGATCGCCTTTACAGGCTAAACATAATACAAACGTAAGTCATCCGCTTAACTTCGTCACTATATCCAGACTAACCTGTTTAAGCGATAGAAGTAATTAGAATCTAAATATGTACTAAGTTAGCTGGAGTTCTGAAGGTGGGTCACCGTGAATATTCTAAAGAGTGTTGTGAAAATTTACGAAGTGATCGTAACAAGTTGTCTTTGCATAAAATGAGAAGCTGAGTTTGCCTTGGCTGCATCCCATGTTTAGTTTGAGCTGTTGTCGAGGCTATTTATAGTTACTGGATTAAGATCTTTCAAGGAGGGAGTAATTCGATCAGGTCACGTGAGGTATAAAGTTTATATCAGGGCATTTCGACAGATTGATTATTGTCTGATGCTGAAACCCACTAGTTCGTATTCACTCCATTCTTATGAGTACTACATTTAACTTCTTACTTGGTTTGAGGACGAAGACAGAAAATAATCAGTGAAGCCAAAGTTCGGATCCTTATATTTTAGGAATATTGTGTTGAACGCCTTTGCGAAGTTACGGAATATTAAACCGACTCAAGTTATTGATCCCCGCAATTTTTTTGTTGGCCCGTGACATGAGAATAATTTTTGCTTAGGAACATTTTTCCCGAACCTGTGTTGGGCTTCATGACGGATGACGTTTTCCTCCTGGGAATCTCTCATATGTCCACTGACCAGTCCTTTCATTACCTTCGAAAGATTGGCAGTAATTCCCTTATCTAACGCGTTCCATCTTTCCTAACTCATAGGCTGACGATTGAAGAGAGAGCAGTGTGTTTAATGTACCCGAAAGCATCCCTAGTCACCAGAGTTGAGTAATATTTTGCGTCCGTAGCTACCTAGTTCAACTAGTCGGTGAAGTCGGTAATAAAGTCCTCAATCACCTCTAACTTAGATCTTCGCTTTTCAATCACATATATACACTAGCTTTGTATATTTCCCCTAAGTAATTGACTCAAAGGGTATTTTCGGTCGGCCTGTATTTTGGCTTCTAGCTTCGTCTGGAACTATCTCTTATCGCTTCAACCCTAGCTCCATATCTGTTTTGGAAAACCGAATATTGACAGCATCCAGAAATCTTCAAGGAAACTCTCCACTTGTTCTGGATTCTCATTTTTGTTCGTACCAAGTGTCCTACGCCTCTTTAAACCACAGTTCTATGTGTGCTTCACCTGAAGTCCATTGTGCAGGATGAAATTTGCTCTGATGTCTGTCACTATCTCTCAGCGTTCATCTAATATAAACCTTCGCTACTCTGGATGCCATGTGGCGTGTAAAAAATGCTTCCCCATGTAAGTTAAGTATATCTTATTTTATCTAAGGTAAATAGCATTCCCATCATTCAGATGTACTTCATTTTTGACCACAGTAAACACCATTACTATGGTTACCGATTACCACAAGTGCCTGGACATGTCACTACTAACTGATTTTACCTGATACATTTTACCTTCAGATTGAGATATTTTAACGTTTCAAAGAATGCCGAATGGTTCTTTCCTCTCCGATATACAACCATAGTAAAATAAAATTAGTAATTGGTTAAGCCGGAGGTTAGATATTTGCGACAATATATAAATCATTCTTTTTGAGATTAAATACCTCTGTAGGCCGGTCAGTCTCTCAGGCTTAGTACTATGTGAGGTTTGCATTGAAGCAACAAGTGGATTATTCCTTTACCTTGTTAATTCGATAGTGTGTGGCACTACGGCTTAAAATTGGCTGTTGATATGCATCGCCACACCTGTATTTTGCGATGTAGGCTTCTTCGTCTATCTCTTAGTTATTAGGAAATGTTTTGATTTTTATGTCTCGAAGAATGGAAAGAAGTACTGCATTTAACACTGACGAAAGAATATCCCTAAATGAACATTCTAAGAAACGCATTTTACAATTTATATCCAATCCTGCCTAACTAGTAGGCCGAAAAAACCATTCCGTGAAAATCCCATATCTTGATCGGTTATGTTTTAAGCGGAAGACATCATGACATGGAGGGCGATAAAAGAGTAAGATACAGTGTACAACTTAAAAATGACCTACAGAGATTATCTGGGTTGCCTAGGATTTTGCGCTTGCCTAGAAACGATTCTAAGTGCACCTTGATGATTATTGGTCACCAGAACACAGATAATTATGTGGTGAATAACTTCTTATCCAGTTAAGCAATGACTTATAATTTATCATTAGAAAAAACTTGAAAACTATTTCATGTTCCCGTGTATTGAACATTACAGGTTTGGGAACCCTAAAGTCTGTACGTAGAGGTTCTGACCGTATCGAGGCTAAGATATTTTCGACTGTGTATGCAGTATTCGTGCATCCTTAACTCTTGTACTGCCGCCAGCCCCTGCACAAAAAAGACAGATAGCTGTGGGTAAGGGTTAGAAGCACCTCAACTAAGTTGATTCCCAGAATCTCGAAGCTGCCATATTGTGAGAGACTAACTATAATCAACTTATTTCCCTTATTATATTAGAAGGACCGGAGGTAACACAATCATAGTTTTTTAAATTTCCCCATGATAAACTTTCATCTCATACGACAAGATATTTCTTTCCTTCCAGAACAGATACATCAATAGCACACTAAAAATGTTCACATGCACAGAACAAGTAACGAATCCGCTCACTACTGACTTCCTCACAGCATCGTAAAAGAATGGAACACATTAACTCGATAGAGAATTAAATCTCCATCTATCGATGCATTCAATAGAAAGCAGAATCAATGGAGAGATCAAGACATCCAGCTTCTTGACTTTTCTAAACTGAAACTACTCTGTCACTTAGTTGCACAGGCGCGCTTATCGCTTTCTGCGCTACAAGGACAGAAATTGGTAACCTAACTTAAATGATGTTTTGTGTCTTTGTGAAACAAATTGTCACATATGTGTAATCAGACGAAAAGCTTTCTTAGATTTTTCGACGTATCAATATGCTTGATGACCATCTACGTGAATCTATTTAGTTCTTTATTAGTGGACAGAAGCATGTCGTTTTACGGTATTTCATGTAGTGAACTATAATCTTCACGCTATCCGCTCTTAGTTTCGATCCCTAAATTCTCATTTTGAGGCTTTTTGCTTAAACTTCACTTAGTCTTACTTGTTAATAGGGTTTTTGTTCACCAGATTCATTTATGAAAATCCAGTAAATTGAAGAGTTGACTTAAGAATAAGCTTTTTTTTCATTTTATCCTAATGTTTTCTTCACATTTTCAATCAAAAGTCACGGTTATTATATTCTAGTTCAACAAACCTTTTGATATTATTAACCTTAGGAAGTTCGATGATCCTGTAATTTTGTTCATTTTCTAGTAGTAATCCGTATTCTGATTTTGAGCTTTTGGCCCCTCAAAAGATGTCACAATTCTTTCTTTTTAATTTTGTCTGTCAACTTATCTTTTACATCCTTTCAACAATAACTTACGTCACTGTTCCAAAATAGGCTTATCTCCAACATTTTCGGAAGTATTTGCATCAAATTTGTCTTAGTCCTGGGTCTTACTTTCTCTGGTTTATAGACGTTACAAGGCTTTTGGAAGGTCTGAGTTGGTTTACCTACTTTTTTGATCCACATACACGACTGTTTATTTCTACAGTAGAAGTCTTTTATATTAGTAGTGTAAATCTTATCAGTGATACTGTGGCCTACAATTAATCAGTTTCATTTGACATGTGTGTATCTTGTACGAATTATCTCGCTATAGACATTATGTCAAAAGCATTATTAAACAGATGGGTAGTAGATACAACACACATCCTGGATTCCACTACTAGCCATTATCCATTTTTATTCAATGAATCTCAACTTATGTTTTTCAATAAGTAATAATAGTAACTGCCTAATAAACTTAACGGAGATCATAATTTCCTAGAAATCGACTCATCATTACAATATATTGTAGGTTAATAACCTCTCTTATTAAAACATATTTTTTTACAGTAACATCTGCTATAAAATCAACATAAATATTACCGATTACAGAACTCATATACTGTTACCTTAATTGGTATTATATTTCTCCTTTACCGCAACAATTATTTGACTGTCCGGTAATATGAAAGCCACTAATCATTATTTCCAAGTAACAGTTCATCAAATGGCTGTTTTAATTTTAGAATATTTTTGTTTTTCTGTCTTTAATATCCTTAGATCACTTCACATTGATTCATCTTATAATTTAACAACAAAAAGAAATGAGCAGTGAAGAATTGGACAATTTTTTTAGAGATCCTATGGTCTTAGCACATATCGAGTCATTTATGGATGCGCATTGTTCTAGTAATTATAAAATTTTTATTAAATAAACTCTTCTAACATTCTTAATCATGAATAGTATTCACATGTGAAAAAGAAATTCATGCTGAACATTATATTGCACATAAAGCATTTTCAGAAATGGTAAGTGAAACTGAATTATTCTTTATTTCATATTTTCTATTTTAGATGGATTTTCATTTACTAATCTAATGTAGGTGGCTTATTTATTAATTAACACACTCGACTTTTCATCGCTTACAAATGTAAATTATGGTTAGACATATCATGGGATATGAAATAAATCACATTTAATTATGAGGTCTAACGCGATACTGCTTCGGGGCTAGTTACTGTACCGCCGGAAAGATAAAACTAACGAGGTGAATAGTAGTTTCAGTAAATTAAAAATATGGTGTAAAGAATATGGTTCCAAAAGATAGGATTTAGTTTGGTTCATTCAAAATGTGGGAGCAGTAAACAGCATGCGGGGGGGATAAATGAAATGAATCCGCTACAGTAGCTAATTTTGAGCCATGTTCCCAAGTCTTCAATTATCAATTGCAACTATCTTACAGACCACAACATAGTAGTTTGCACTTTCCGAAACGACTCATATCAACAATAAGCGACTTAATAGATTGACTAGTGGTTTGGTTGCTCTTTGCTTTCTTCCGAAGACCACTGGTATATTCAGGGTTATTCATTTAAACACTTTTCTATTCGTGATAGATACTCTAACGACTTCTACGGTCGTATAGTAGGAACCTTAGAAATTCGTGCACTTTCGAAGGTGATTTTCACACCCACAGAGTAATACAAAGCAAACTATTTCGAGGTATACCTATTCCTTGGTAGACCGCTCGATAATTATTCTACGCACACATACATTATACTGAAAACATTATGCTGAAAAAGCCTTGATTTTGTGAACTAGTAACGGATCAGTGTTTATGGTGCTCTGAAAATAAGTGAAGCAATCCGCGCATTTAACTACTACAATTCCTAGCGTCAAAATAGATTCGATACCACCTTTTATTTGAAGAGGAGATGCATAAAAAAGGACATTGATTTTATTAGTAGAATATTTCGACTAACTAAAGTAATTTTAGTCTGGTTTTGTACACATTGAAATTAATATTTAAAACTTCGCTCTTGTAAATAATAACCATGTGCCTAGCACCGATCAGTGTTGACACAGCTACGATTTGAGAGAACACAATGAATAAATGCACCTGCGCCATTTCAAACGATTTTGAGCCATGTCGTTCAAGGTCTCTAACCATTGATTACTATCATCTCGCGGGCCCTAACCAGGTAGTCGACACTTACCGATATGACTCAGTCCACTTGTCGGCGACTTCATAGATTTGTGACATGTTTTGGTCTGGCCACCCATAGTTTTCTTCTAACCTACTACATTGCAAAGCATAGCTTGTCGAGGCAGTCGGTGGTTAGGCATACGTAACACATGTTCCCAACCACCTCAACTACTGAAGTTTCAATACTTCATCTATTGAACTGCCATCCTTACGTAGTACCCATTTCCTAAAGATAGCATTGCTTACTCGATCGTCCCAGGATACACGAGCAATGCTTCGAAGAAATCTATGGTCGAACACCAGTAACCCACGAATATCCTCTACTCTTAACGGCCATGTTTCACAGACATAGAGTAGGACGAAGCGATCTACTGCACAGTAGACTCGTTGTTTAGCCAGCAAACGGATATCTCACATACTCCATAAGTGACACAAGTTGACAAAAGCCAATCGAGATTTCTGTATCCGTACTGAGATTTCATCAGTCACCTGGCCATTAACACTGATGAGACCCCACAGATTAATGAAGCGATCTACAGGCTCGACTACTTCACTCCTTATCACTAGTTCAAGTGCGCTGACACAAGCCAATCTTTAAAAGCAACATTTTACATTTCAACGAGGGGCGAGAATCGCATCCCAAACATACTTGCATTGTTTGCTTAGAGGGTAGGTAGTCAGGACGCACTGCAGTAGTTAAACATTCTTTTGTTTTGCTTATTGCTTTTTCTGTAGATGAAACATCTACTCGACAATTCATCAATTCAATATAATCAAATTCAACAAATTTATGCTACTTATAAAATAACAAATGAAGAAAATTTCTTACTGAATTCCATTTCTTATATAATTGCTTCATGGAATTTTGAATTATTTTATCAATTAATGACTTTAATCAATGTTGATTTACAATTGGAAGCATTACATTTTATTCAACAGAAACATTACAATCAATCTGTGTACGTGTGTGGGTACAGTTTTTGTAATTTAGTTATTTATTTTCTTAAAAATATCTTCCTTATTGTCAATTATTGTTAGGATATGCAGTCAATATCCTAAGAGAATTATTCTTGTAAGTCTAGTTACTTACTTACTTACTTACTTACGCCTGTTACCCCCTAAAGAGGAGCATAGGCCGCCCACCAGTTTTCTCCAACCAACTCTGTCTGTCCTGGGCTTCTCTCTCCAGTTCTGTCCAATGTTTGTTCATTCCTCCCATATCTTTCTCTATTTCTCGGCGTAGTGTGTTCCTTGGCCTTCCTCTTTTCCTTTTGCCTTGAGGTTTCCATGTGAGGGCTTGTCTCGTGATGCAGTTAGGTGCTTTTCGTAGTGTGTATCCTATCCACTTCCACCGCTTCTTCCTGATTTCCTCCTCTACTGGAATCTGACTTGTTCTCTCTCACAGTTCGTTGTTGCTGATGGTGTCTGGCCAACGAATCCGAAGTATTTTGTGTAGACAACTGTTAAGGAATACTTGTATCTTCTGAATGATGGCTTTGGTAGTTCTCCAAGTTCTACTGCCTAGCTCTCTTCTGTACTCGACTCAATAAACAACTCCATCCTATGGTGTCGCGTTTTGATATATAGGAGATTTGGAAATAGTATTTTGGGTCGTATTGGGATATTTGCATTGGACGCCGCTAAGACTGAATAGCTATACGTAGCATCATTATAACAAAATTTGGCGACGAGTTGGTGACTAATTATGGATCCAGCTAAATTAGAAAAACTGTTTGCACAACATCTGAAGCTGATGGAGATGCTTACTCAGACGCATAATATTTCATTTTAGAGACCACTGAACTGCAAAAGTTCATAAATTTAATATGACATACAACAGAAACAGATGATGCACGTGTATGAAGTTCAATTAGCTTACATATCATTTCATTACATTTTTCCATATGAGATTTCGTGAGACGTAGGAGATTAGAAATATTCTAAATTAATTTATTAGATCATAAGAATTTATAAAATTGTCTAGGAAATATATGTATAGTAAGGTACAATTTGTAAAAGTTCAGCTTTACCTTTTCAGAAGTGATTTTACATTTAACAGTATCAATCAAGTTCATCTAGCCGTTTAATACTGTGGTGCGAGCTACTTATAAGTAGTATATGATGTGAGTGTCAACGTAATGTCTGGCAGCAGAAGATGGGGGAAGATCAAGAAAGGAAGAGTTAGAACTCAATGAAATTTGTATGAAACGCATCAATAGTGACAATGGATTGATGTTTTGCAACAGGAACAGTCCAGTTCGATATGATAAACTGATATTTTGCAAATGAACGATTTACGATATGGTTTTCCGATTTTACTGAGTAACTCTGTAATTATCCTTAAATACAATCCGGTTGCCCCACCTGTGTTCTCGTCCTCTACAATACAAGACGGAGGGAGTTTTCTTTTCAGAAATGTAAAACAATTAATCCCTTTTTATAAATTTTTGATAGAAATTAATTTACACTTAGATTTATCTATTTTATTCAATATTTATTATAATTTTCTTTTTGTAGACAAATTGATTCCAGCAACAACAACAATGATAACACTGAGTTGATGAATAATAACTCTACTACACAAATAAATCAAAATGAAATAACTGATATGTTATTAGAAAAATCTCAACAAAAAAATGGAGTGATGAATGTAAGTTAAATGTAACTTATTAATATATGAGCGTGTATATATATATATGTTTCGACCTAGTATGGGACTCATCAGCAATCAGTTAGTCAGTTACAATGTAGAATTTCGTACGTAAGTACATCAATTCATGTTGCCACACCACATTAGCACAGAGATGCAATTGTCAATTCAAATCCTATAGTGCTAGAAATAGTAGAAGAATTACTGGTAATGGAGAAGATTAGGATTTGAAGATATTATTCAAGAAGTATAATTCAGTGAGATAAGGTGAGAAAGAGAAATGTAGAAGTGATGAGGAATTCAGAAGGTTAGAATTTGAGAGAACACAAAGATTGGATGCACCTGCGCTATTGCAAACGGTTTTGAGCCATATCGTTCAAGGTGTCTAACCATCGGTGAGTTTCGTCCCGCTGACCCCAACCACGTAGCCTACATCTACCAATATGACTCAGTCCACTTGTCAATGACTTCATGGATTTCTGCCAAGTTTTGGTTTGGCCGTCCCTAACTTTCTTACAACCTACTCCTACACCACAAAATATCTTTACTCTTACCGGCCATTTTTCGCATCATCAGTAGTGTGCATTTAAGACCCCGCAGGCGATAAACGAATGCAAGACTTTTGGTCTCGTGCATGAACGCCTAACCTCTAGACTACTGAGCCAGCAACCGATGGTGTTATTATCTAACCTCAATCAATCCATGATATTACGTGATATCATCTTATTGTTTTTTGGTGGGTCACACTCGATGCGACTGAACTCCACTAGTAACAGCTTCTCACTAGAACTCCGAGAATTTCCTCACCAAGTTTGTCACTAATGAGCACATTTTCATGATTTCAACGGAACTTAACAGTCTCTACAATGATAGTTAATAGTTCAAGAGCGAGACTAAAGGTCATAGGTTTGATTCCAGTGTACGAGTGTCGTGGATGCTCACTGTTGATGAGTCCCATACCGGGACCAAAACGGTCATCCAGTGCTTCTAGGTTTCTAATAGTCAATCTTACATTCTATATAACTCCATAATGACAACTTCAAATATATTGAACATTGAATAGTATACCAATCATAAGAGAATTACACCCAATCACAAAACGTTAAAAATTTAAAATTTCTACTCATTTTAAAATATCCCAAATATATTATTATTTAATTATTGTAGGGTTAGGGCGTTCGCGCACAATACCGAAGGTCCTGGGTTCGAATCCTGCGGGGTGCAGGCGTCGTGGATGCGCACTGCTGATGAGTAGTCCCATACCAGGACGAAACGGTCGTCTTTCAGTGCTTCCAGGTTTCTAATAGTGTTGGTCTAACATTGATCGATTCATGGTTTCAAAAATGTGTAACTTAACAATCTTCACAACCCTGTAATGCATATTGTATATTATGCTTGATTTGTGTCTTTATTTTTCGCTTTTACATTATTCGATATTAGACAATCAAACAAACAATTGAAAATGAACTTTGTGAAAATTGTCAGGTAAAAAACAATGAACAATTAATAACGAAGGTAAGAATTTTTTAATGTATTTATATATATACGGTCCATCAAAATTGTCATTTTTGTTAGGGACTTTAGATCCCCAGAACTCACTTGATGAAGGTCCTAATTTTGGATTATATGCTTTCGTGCATAGGTTGATCAGCTGACCTTTTCGTCACTTAGTATGCTTGAGGCTATTACGAGTTTACCTTAGTCGATAAACGCGAACGAGACGATGAACCAGCGTCCAGGTAGGCTACCTTGAATCCAAACGGTAAAACAGAAGTCTTGATAAGCGTAGAAAGTATATTCTACAAACACCCAGCAATCACAGTACAATCAAGCATACAACTCTCGTTTACTTATACATCATAGAAACGTCCTTGGGACAGTAACAAAAATAGCACACTAAATTAACACACAGCAGCCAATCACAGCCATGGATTTTCCTTGTGGGAATTGAAATCTGAAGGTCAACTGATCAGCCCACGCTGGCAAACGTAGAATCCAAAATAAGGCATTCAACAAGCGAGTTTTGGGGATCTAACATCCCCAACAAAACTACATTTCCCACTCTGAAAATCTTTGACTTTCATTAGTTAATGTACTGTTTTAGTACGCTAATTTTGTGGCTCTCCCAAGGATGTTTCTATACTGCATAAATAAACTCGATTGTGTCTGCTTGTGAACATCATATTTTCTGAGTGCTTGTTGGATACACTTTCTACGTTTTGTCAAGACTTCTCTCTCTGCTTAGTCGAGGGCCTTGAGAAGCTCGTATTAGGGTAGCCTACAGTGTCACTGGATCATTTGTCTTTGCTGTCGTTTATCGAATAGTAGTATCGTATAGTAGTTTCAAGCATATCAATTGACGAGCATATCAATTTTAAAGGCAGAGTTTC